GAAAGCGCATAGTTCACTTATGAAGCGTTTTCGGGCATTATGTGTACGAGCCGAAAAATCGATCCTGAAAATTAAGTACGTTTACTCCCGGACACTCTGTTTAATTGTATAATAGAAGGAATTATACATTTTAAAATTGAGCTCTGCGAAACTTAAATTATTTGATATGAAACCCGATCTGGTTGAATTTGGAGGGGAGATGTAAAACAATAAAGCCGTGAACACATAATTGACGGTGACGAATCTTGACTCGTTTATCAACTTAAATCAAGGCACATCCTCAATTGCTCAACCGCAGAGAGTTTCATATTATCGAGTGTGCTTATTAGCTTTCCCGGCACTTCTTGAAAAAACAATCCCTAGAGGATTTGTCCGCCCCCTACCTATCCTTCCATCGGCTCGGTACATGTTTGACAAGATTTATACTTTAGAACTGCAGCGAAGTTCGCCACCCCTCCCGTGACCATTCGCGTTCGTCTCAATTAACCACTGAGGGGCTAACTTCATTTCCTGAGCTTTCTAATCGTAATGACTCGGTACTTAAACACGCCTAAAGGCTTGCTTTCGCGGTTTAGCCGCGGTATTTAAAACCCTGAGGGAACGTTTGTTGAATTACGTTGCATTCCGTCAAGATAAACTGCATGAAAACTTTTCCACCCTTATTACAGTAATGATAATTTGACCGAAACTGTTTTCATTATTTGGAATGGAAGCATAAGCTCCTCATTTGCGTTCATGATGTATGTTCGTTAAAAAACCTCGGAGTGAAATCTATGGTGCATTTGAGGATCTTGGAAGACAAGGCGCATAAATGCAGTTTTCGAAAAAATTGAGATATGATTTCAAGTAAAACTAGTCTGAATGCAAATTCTGTGAAAAGTTCGCTCCAAAATTCCAATTTTTAAGCATCAAAAAGTCAGTTTGAACTTCCTTTCCACCATAAGGATACGCATTCCTCGAAATAGCAAAAACTGAGCTTATGCGCCTTGTCTTCCAAGCCCCTCATTTCACTTACTTCGGAGTTTAGTGCTCTCCTCAAACAACCGGTGTGGTGTATGTTCGCAGTGGAATCAACCCTTTTCAAGGAGTTGGATTCACTCCTAAAGCCCAGATTCCACCCCCTAGTTATACCACTCATGTTTTTTTTGGAGGCAATAATAAGCAGAAATGCACACCAGATTTCGCTCCGAAATTCTTTTAAATGCAAGATCCAGCAATGAACTATCGTAATATTTTGTCTCTTTTTTTCTCGGGGTACCTTGCTGATGAAGAGCACAGTAGGTAAACCGGAGGAGCGTAGAGGTATTTAAAGTACGTCGCTTCAATTCAATTTATTTCACGCATTTGAAAAACAAATCTATGCAAAGTAATAACAGAAATTAAAATATTAATTTTTTAAAAATGACAAAGAATACGTATGGAATTCCATACATGGTCGTATATGATCATGAGATGCCATGTTATCAAGCCAAAGCTAAAATTCATTTTCTATGAAAACGCTCATTCATGGACACTGTTCTCTCCCTCAACAGGGCAGTATAGATAAGAGGGAAGTATTAAGGATAAAAAAAAAACAAACACAAAAAGTTTGCTGCAGACCGAGGATGGAGCTTTCAGCTCCGAAAAACGTCCCGTATAATTAAAAAAATCACCGCAAGTGAGCACCGGAAAAATTTTATTTTTTATCAAACACAAAAAAAAATATAAAGAGCCTAGGTTAAAAGTTAGACTTTTTAAAAGGCTGGGAAATTTCGGGGCACCATATAACAACCCGGGACGTATTCGGAATCAGTACGATTTTTCAAGGATCAATTTTTTTTACAAAACTATCCACACCCCTAAAAAGCTGGAAAAACTCTGGTCCTAAGAAACCTGAGCCGGGTTTAGAGGGTGAGAGGGTTCATGTTCGGCATCTCCGAGTGATTCAAACGAGTACATGAACTCGCTGACAAAATGCTGGGGATGAATTTTCACGGGTGACCTCGGTGTCGAGTTGTCAAGCTACGAGAGTTGTAACAAGCAAAAGCAGTCGTTTTCTCCCGCCTACAAATTAATCACGAAACTCCACTTTCATAGATGTCAAGTCAGGCAAAAAATCCCTTTAAGAGTATCAATGAAGATAATAAAAGAGCGCAAAATGTTGGTCGCCCGGAGCAATTTTTAAGAAATTTACTCGCGCTAACATCAAAAGATTGCATTCATTAATGGATTTATAGACTCAACTGGACTAGTATTCGCAAATCTGGAAGCTGAAACGCTTCTTCTACGCAAAGTCGCAATTTTGACGAGAAATTATCACTTGGCGTACATTATTTCCTCGGTCATCCACACAAGATACATTTGACTTTCATCCTGACATGATGTGTAATTGACATGCTGTAATTTTCCAGATTTTCGCTTCGAACCCAAGAATGATTAATCGATATTTTAACCTTCACTTTTCGTCCTCCCTAAATGTAATATCCTCTAACCGCAGTTCCTAACTTCTTTGTTGCGTCACTTTCTCTCCTCTCGGAAAACCGTTAACGTCCACAGTGAGGAAAAAATTTCTTGTCATACAGGTTTAAATCACGTTTAACTAATTGAAATGCATTTTGCAAAAAGGAACCAAGATTATTCTAATGTTGCTAGGATTGAAAAACTTAAATTCTTTGCAAGAATTTACAGAAAACATGAAAAAATTAAATTTACCCAGGTGATTTTCGTATTAAATTCACAATTTATCGGTAGTGAAGATAAATTCTTTTTAGATCGTCAGTTTATATTTGCAAGGTGAAAAAAATTGCACGATCTTAGCGACAATGGAATGCTCGTGGTTCCCTTTTGCAAAATACAATCCAATTGATTATTAATATATTTGACAAGGAAAATTAACAAAATTTCTTTTATTTTGAGCTCTAATTCTGAAAAGCGGTCGTGTGCCTGAACTCGCAACCTGGCCACAGTCACAGTTAATAACAACCAATATTTCTGGATCAGAAGACATTTGCTCGATTTTTCCCGCATCCGGCATAACTTGGGGTGGACGGGTGAATATCGGCAGCGGGACGGGGAGGGCTCATCAAAACTCGTCTTCGCTTGCCTTTCCGGTCAGTTTCCGATGACTTTGTCTCTCGTAGCAGGAACCAACTTCGAACTTACCCCCCTCCCCCTAACCACCAAGATTTACTCCAACTAATAAACTTAGCGACGCGGACGGGGGTCCCCGGGGCTTTCATAAGATTCCACCCTCTCCCTCAGCCCCGCCAGTTCATCCCTTCCTTGAGTAACGTCTTCCTCGATCACTGATCATAGTACCGTTCCGGCACTGTTGTTTGCGTCCGCCCCTCTCGGCTTTTTTTCATGACCACGTCTGTGTTAAGTCAAAGTTTCCGGCAGTACTGCCGACTCGACATATCTGAAGGCGTCTGTTCCAATTAGTTGCTTTCCTAGTTGCTATAATTGTACATGTGTAATATTGTATCTCGGTTGAAAAGTCTTCTTGATCATTCGGAATCTTCCTCATCGAGTTAGGATGAGCTGTAATTTTTGAACACACACCACGGAGAAGAATGTTCATGGAAACTGCTGAATGTGTATTCTTGTTTCATGAAATATTTTAAATAAGGAAGGCATAACATTTTTAGTTAAAAACATACAATTTTAGCTGAGAAATATTCATTAGAGGGGCTGAACCGACTGGACTTTTTTTTTTTTTTTTTTTTTTTTTTTTACAGCATGAAATAATCGATTGTCACATTTACAGGTTTTCAAGTTTCAATCTACAATTTTCACTCTCTCTGGGAAGGCATTGTTGAATCCATATTTTTGTTTGCTATTGCATGAAGGCTGATCAAGTTAGGGCAAGAAGTCTTCGGATTATAGGTATCGAAAGAGCATGAACATCACCTAGAAATAAACTGTTGCTGTCATTTAAATTCCCATATAACTTTTTTTTGTAGTCTTTAAAGTAGTACTTATTAACTGAAATCCCAGATTGAACTTGGGGTGATGACATAATTACAGCATGATGAAATGTCAACATGCTGCATTTTGCACAAGTTTGTGTTCATATGTTGCATTTTGTCGATTAAAGATGGAATAATATGTCAACGAGCTCTATACCTTTTGAATCACTATTGTCTCATGATTTTTAATTCGTATTTCCTATATTTAATTTCTCATGCAGTCTCCAACCATGTTTAATCGCCACGCGAAAAATCCGATGAGGCACCCTCCAGTTAGCGCGAAACTTTCGCAGGGACGGAGCCTGAGTTGCTAGGCAACACCTCAACTATCAACTTTTCGTCGCGACAGTTTGGCGCCAAAAGCATCCCTCGGCGCGTGTATTGTCTATGGTCACTTTCTCCAGCCAGCGCACCACGACAAATTTTCCGTTGTATTGAGCCACGTAAAAATAAAGGGACCAGACTCACAGTGTAACGATGGCAAATGACAACCTTTGAATCGAGTTTTGAGGAAATCAAACAAGAACTTTCAAAGAAATACGATTCTTTGCAAAGAGCATGAGCTGTTACTTCTATAGTACTAAAAGATGTTCGAATAAATGTTTATTTAAACACCAGAGGTCATTTAAACAACTCATGTACATCAAATTTTGTAGAGACTTTTCACATACATAACTAGAGTATTAAGAAAAAAATGATGTGTACAAAACAGCGAAAAATTGAGGATTTCATTCGATAGGGAAAACGCGATTGAAATACAAAAACACGTAAGCTGATTGGTTGAGAAGCAGGCCCCATCACGATCACGTGATATGCCTAGGTCGACGAAAGAAATATTGAGCATGGCTTCATCCAAAAAAAAGTAAAAATGAGAAAAAAAGAGACAGAAAGAAAAAAACGATTGAAAAACAATTTATAATTGTATTCAGATGCATTATATTACATGCAGTCAAAAAAAAACATTCACTTTCTTTTCGTAAAAGCTAAAGTTTAAGGAATTTCAGTTTAATTATTTTTTTCGTAGGTGATCCCAGTTCACTCCTTATTGTTGATAAATAAGTAACAAACCCGCGCTTTTGTCACCTTTTAAATCTCCAGGACCGTAGGAAAACCACAGATAGTAATTTTGGTCAGCTTCTCTTTAATCGCCCCTCTCGGTTTATACTTTCTCTGCGTAATCATCTGTTGCCATGGTTTATTTGGGTACTCCACGTCAATGCCTTTTGGTTTAGTTTCCAAGACTGGAGGTCGACCCTTGTGTTTTCTTATACTTTTCACTACTTTCAGAATATCTTTAGAAGCTTGTCTGACCATTTTCACTTTTTTTTTTAAACTTCTTCTCACTAGACTCTGATTTTCTGAACTCGGCGTTGGTTTTTTGATTTCAGGAACGATAACGATTTTTCTCATTTCCGGCATCTGTAATCAGCAAAACGGATTATAAACCAATGTTAATGGTTTTAAAGTTGTATAGGTATTTATACATATAGGTAAATTGTATGAACGACAAAGCACCTGACGGACAATTCCGTCCCTTGGAACAAGTTGAAAGTTGATTCAATGGAGAAATTAATCCAAAATATACGAATATTGATTTTTTAAAAAAAAGAGCTGCGATGCTCAGTTACACTGGTTTGGTTAAAGTTGTGCAATTGCTTTCGATGCAAAATATGTGACAAGGAAATAATTCAGTATGAAGTACAATACCTTAAGCATTTTCTGTGGGCGCTTCTCAATCCGCATCGCCTGTTCTGAATTCCGAATTTCTCCTGCAAAACCAGGCCTTGAGACCGTCTCTTGAAACAAAAGGAATTGCACCTGAAAAACATCATGGCTGATACTTTTTCATGAATCAATGAACATGTGAATGTTTTTAATTCCTGCTTAGTCTCTTCGCTTTTGATTAAAAACTGAAAACTACTTGTGCGTACTGGATAATGTCACGCCGCACAGTAAATTGAGTCAATTAGAAAAATCGGACATGAAATTTTTAACTAAAACTGAAATTTTTGATGTGTAGTTCGTCAAATTTCAAAGTTTAACGGGTGTGTCTGAAAGAAAATTGCATGAGGAAACCAATTGAAACACTTTTAAGACCTCAAAAATGTGTATGAACGCAGTTAGAGGCGTTTAAAGTTTTTGTCCGACCTCTCCTATTGACTCGATCTACCGTGCGCCGCGCCGTGTCATGAACTCGGAGTAATGAAAAAAAAATAGTGACGCACGAAGAAAATTTGAAAGCTGAATTGTCCATCTGTCCATCAATCCGTATTCAGAATAAGTGCTTGCGCGGCCCGATCAATTTTTTGCAAATCTGCTCTTTTCATCCTTAAAATCAATGAAAAATTCTAAGTATATTGGCCAAGATAGGGATAAGGGGGGACTGGGTAAGAAAGAGCAATTCAAAAATTAAACCGAGTTTATCAGAGAGGAACCAACCCACATTTATGAAAAAATTGAGTTACGTTTTTGAGTTCCACTAGTCGTTCATTTTCTCCTGCCAAAATCTGAAAGTCGATCGAAAAAAAGAAATTAGTTTGTGAAAAGAAGAGTTAAAGTTTATTCTCTACATTGAGCCTTATGCAGGAATAAAACTTGAAACATCTTTTTTTCAGTTTCAACTTGTGGGTTGGTTCCTTTCTAATGAACTCAGTTCAATTTATCCCCGCACATAATGAAACGTGTAAAAGTGCAAATTAAAAGAGTCAATAAGTTATGTGTCATGATGTTGACAATCATCAAAGGTGCAGACTGACATTGCGCCATCTCACGTACTATTTACCGTCAATGATTACGTCAGACTTTCCCCGAGTTTATGTTTTATGGGGTCATATATGTTTTCAAAATAATTATTAATTTGGACACATCATGGCATATTTTGAGCAAATTTCAAAAGCTTTACATTTCCTTAAACTTCATAAAAAAGAGGAGCCTCGACGCGCCTTGATAGCTGCGCAGATACAACTATTCGTACTTGATGACTGTCCATGTTGCATCTGCAAAATTGAAGGCGCGATGGCGTGAGGCGTGACATCGCAATGCTCCACTCTATGCTGCTTCGCTCAAATTCAAGAGAAAAGTTAAAAGACGAGGCCCTTGTTGAAAAAACTTCCACCTTTAGAGGCGATCAAATATGACTAAAACCAGGAAAAATCTTCAAAACTGGCACATTCATACCTATCTGGCATACCTATAACCTGATCCAAAATACAACACATTTTTGTTGTATAGTGCTGTGAACCGTTGCTAAATTAGTATCAAACATTTTTTGCATGAGCCTTTGTCTAAGTTCCCCACTAGTGTATCTTAATAGGTTGCTATCAATGTCTTACTTACGTACAAAGGCAAAATAATACAGCGTACAAAACATGACTGGAACAAATAATTGCCCTCGGGAGGTAAGCCCCACATGTATCAAACGCAAACACAACAATCAATGGCACTTTCTCCAGCGCAGACGCAATTAAGGAAGACTGGAAGAAATTTAATAGGTACTCGAAAACAAAGCTCCAGTTAGAACGAGGGTCATCTACACAAGCCCATACAGGCATATGAAATCACCGTGGATATATTTTTGGTTGAAATACACACTTCTTTTAATCGACTTTTATAGTTAACATTAAGATATTATTGTTCGTAAACAGTTTGGAAAGAAACAAACTCAATTTAGATCGATCAAATGTCAAAAATCACGTTTTAAAATTTTTCGCGCGTGTTGGAAGATTTTAGTCGGTGTTCGGCAAATACATATGAAAGTTGGTATTATCTCTTTTGATGTAAAGGATGAATGATGATTGGTTAAAAATTATGTGGAGAAGTCACATAAATAAACACATTGAAATATGTAGATTGAAATATGTAGGTAGAATATGAATCACCGCACACACATATTAGCACAATTAAAAAATTATCGTGGAGCAGAAAAATGAGCTTCTCTCATCTCAATCTTAGATATTACAAAAAGGCTCACTGATACTAATAAAGGCTAAGGCTTGGATCTCATGAATTCGGAGGACGTCAGTGTTGTGACCAGGCATGCGAGATTCATAGAGCAAGCTTGCCGGTGGAAAATAAAAAACCATACGCAAAATGCTGTCTGGTAATGATGTTCCCTCATGCCATTGGCCTCTATAATAGCTGGAAACCTGGAACAGCTGTTCACGGGGAAAACGTCACCCAAAAACCTCACACATGAAGGTGAATACAGGAGAAGAATGTTTTTTTCCAATGATGTATACGTGTGACAAGATGTGAGGTGTGATTTTTTCCCCACTATGCGAATATTTTGAAGAGTTCTCGCTCCTGTGCGTTGCCTGAAAAAGTTAATTCTCATTGTTGGCTTATTTTTCCAGAGTGGTCTAGTTTTGAGGTATATTCTGAAAGTATCTGAAATGAAAGTGAATTTACTACGAAAATTTTAGCTCGTATTTTCTTAACTCTTAGTAGAGAGAGATAAATTATTTCAATTATATGGAATTTTTTTCGTGTAGCTGAGGATCTGTCGCTGTCGCTGTTTTCCACACAAAGGAACATTACTGCATCCTAAGATTGCGGATTTTACTGAAAAAATTCAATTTTCTACAAGAATTTGGATGTACCATACAGTTATTCCTTGTGATTCTAAGAAAATCAGAGGAGGCTTAGGTTAAAAACATTCCAATGATTACCAAGTAAAAATACAATTTGAAATTTTACGACATTGAGTTTAGCTACGTTACTTTGTCTGGGGCACGACGATATTAAACCCCTTCCATAGTAGATCTCCTGCTCAACAGCGCAGCGGTCCTCGTCGCCCGTTCCGGGAACTTTTCACTCAGAACTAACGCAAAATCCTCACGTCACTCGAAACGGCAACGGTGTAACAGTACCTCCTAAGTACCATTAACTTTCCTCACTTGCGACTCCGCACACGTCCAAGCCTCGACTTCTAACCCCTCTTACACGGAGGCAAAATGGGAAAAAAAGGTAGGAATCCCTCAAAGATCTCCGACAAATTATTTTCTCTTCCAGTTTCCAATTTGTGAGCCTTGGGTGCCTCGAACAGCTCCCTCCCCGCAATTCGCAGACAGATGAGAGTTTGTAATGACAAAAGAACTTTGATTAAACCAATATATATCTTAAAATCCCCTTATTGATTAAACGTGCTCTGCCCTCCGTTCGGCCTCCTGCTCGATTTTTATGCACCAGTCGCATCTCGTCTGATTGATTCGCATACTTACCTTCGGGACCTTCCTCTCCTCTCCTCGTCCCTTTTCATGCATTGCACAGTTTTAAATCCAACGGAGTTTTCTTGCGCTCTGCTCGTTCAGGAAATTTCTCCATGCATGATTTTCTCGGCAGCTAAGTGCAGACTGCACTTAACTAAGCCTTTGAAAACTTATGGCATAGGCGCACAGTGGATCGAGTCGAGAGGAGAAGTTGGACAAAATTTTGAAAGTTTAAACGCTTATGACTCCATTTGTATAAAACTTTGGAGTTCTAAAAGTGGTTCCATCGGTTTCATAATGTGTTTAAATTTCAAATAAAATGCACATGTTTAACGAGAAAATAAGTCGGGAGTCTTGTGAGTTGCTTTTTTCTCATTGAATCAAGTAACTTTCAGCAATCACAGATCGAATACAATACTGATTGTTTTCAATTGTAGCTCGAGTGATTTTTTTTGTTTGTTTTTTTTTGGAAGTATTTATGCCAAGGAGGCCATTTTTTAGTATGGGTCCCTGACTTTCACGCAGGCGTTACCACCAGATAACGCTTATTTCCTGCAAAAATCTCACATGAATGCTAACTTTACTCGAAAGAAAAAGGTTTTTTTCTAAGTATATTTCAATTCACTGTGTTGATTTTATTTTAACACTCCCACTGGAAAATACATTTCTGACAACTATGGCAAACCATTGTCATCGTGTTTGGTTAGCCTAGATATGAATGGTATCGAGGAAATATAGGGTAGAAGCCGAGAGAGGAAACAGATCATATTGAGAAGTTTACGTTGCGGGACGAAGTTTACTGGGAGGCGGATCGAAATAAAACTTTTCTTTATCCCTGCGCCACTTCAAAGATGCTGTAACAAATACGAGAAGTTACAAGAACGAAATGCGCTTCGAATGATAATATCTTGCGATACAAAGCTACATTTGCATTGAAGTTCCCGCATACCTACAAGAGAGAATGGACTGAGACACGCATCACGCCTCTGAGGCTTATCCAAACGAATATTCACTTTTCATAGGGTTAGCATTAATCATATCTTCGAAGCTAACAGATCCGAGGTAATGATATTTAATTATGAAGCAGTGGCATGACGTGAATTGAGATACCATTGTTATACCATTGATACCATTGATACCCATACCATACCCATACCATTGAATACCACTGATAATTGTTATACCATTTAAACCTATGGTAAAGAATCGATTATTAGGTGTTCGCTGCGAACACCCTATTTATCGATAATTTTCTATAGGTTTAAATGGCTGATCAATCGATAGATAGCAAAGCACGCCACGCCACTGTTATGAAGGCCTCTCTCCTGCCTGCTATTAAAGAGGTGCAAATGCCCGTCATATTTTTCAAATTCAACCATTATAATATATTTTACTATCCCCGTTTCCATCATGATCCCCATGTTTTAATCATTAAATGGGGCATGGGGAAAATTCTGAGGGCTTGATGTCTCATGTTTCATGGCAGAACCTGAATTCGGAGTCGCAACCTAACATCTTTATTTTAGATAAAACGGAGGGGGGGGGGGGTGCCGGTACCTCCCCCGCCCGTCAAAAAAAGATACTCCAAAGAAGTTTTTCGGGGAGCTGGAAATAATTTTATAGAATGCCTACGGGTCGATCTAGAGTGTATAGATAGTGGACGAGTCGTCTGAATCGGCTCGCTCATATGTTGTACCGTTATCTTCAGTATAACTACAAAAAGCAAATCGCGCCTTTAATCCTACATAATAATGCCACCATTTGAAGACACGTATGTGCCTTGATTGAAGCGTTCGAAAATTTGGAATTTCCGCATTGAATTTTGGAGAATATGCAAGAACAAGTCATACGAAGTTGCTGAGTATTGATTGAGATGCTCGATCGTCTTTTAAAAATGTTAAATACTTTATAAAATCTGCAACGTTACAAACTGAAATACTTGATTTTTTAGTTTCACAATCAAATCGCATGTTGCCTTCACATCAATTCACAAGTTTCATATTCGGACAGATTTTGAAGTGTTTAATTCTTTCAGTGACAAATACAATTGGAGGGCTCGGAGTACAAGGCGCATAAGAGCAATTTTTGATAAAATTGGCGTATTAATTATTTCAAGTAAAACTAATCTTAAGGCATATTCTGTGAAAAATTCGCTTCCAAAATTCAATTTTTAAGCATCAAAAAGTCAGTTTGAACTTTCTTTCCGCCATAAAGATCCATGTAATTTCGAAACTTCAAACACGTATTTCTCGAAACAGCAAGAACTGCACTTATGCGCCTTGTCCTCCATGCCCCTCAATAATTGCGCTCAAGTGGCTCTCAATTTGAAAATTTAATTCGTCATCCGTTCATTATCTGCTATTCTTCATGACCGAAATGAAAGAAACAGAGTTAAATTGAGAAGACGACATGAGTGGTATTGCAATATTTCTTTTGGTAGAGCTCTTAGCTCTTATTGGTGTACATGAAATTGGCTGTGATGTTAAGTTTAAAAACCAGGATGCAGTTTTGGAGGACTTTGAAATTACGAAATCAGAGGTGAGTTCATCGTTCATGAAAAGTGAAAACTCTACAAGTTTGCGCCAAACGATTCCGAACTTTTCGAGCATAATTTGTTTCCGAAGATCAGCCTGAGGAATGCGCAGTTTTTATCATCATTTAGAACTATTATGTTCGATGTGTATATACCTCTGTATGCTGCATTCATATAATGAATAAAGCCACACTAAACAAAATAACATGTCAAAAATAATGTCCAATGTCCAAAATAACAGCTAACTTAAATTATACGCAAAATGTTGTTTGAAGAAGATCAAAAAAACCTGAAGTGAGTGATAAAATTTCATTTCCTTTGACTGAAAGTATAAAATGTTCCTATACCTTTCTTTTTTAACTTTTTACCATTTTTCGCATGAATAGTCGTAAAAAAATATTTTCAAAATTTTGGACTTATCGGAGCCGCCAACTATTTTATAGAAAGGTTCCCCTAACATGCTCAAATTACATCGCTTTAGACTCGATTCAAAATGGCGATAATTTGTTCATTCTGTTATTATGCGTCGAAAGCATGGTTTTGTTCGAGGCTAAAAGGTTGCCTCAAATGAATCATGACACATTACATTTTTTACTTTTTCTGCAAAATAGATCCTAACGAAAGTTTTACCCCTTCCCAACGTCAAACAAGTTTTGCAATCCATTTTGCTCCATTTACATCAGAATATTATAACAGATACTGCACATTAAGGTTTATATTTTCCAGAAAGTTCACTATGGATCGCTTGATGAGCAAGCTGTCCGAAATTTGTTCGACAATTTCATCAGAGAGCACAACAAGGAATACAAAAGTCATGAAGAGAAGGAGAGGAGGCTAAAATTATTCGTGCAGAATTTGAAAAAATACGACATTTTGAATGAAGCGGACATGGGAACAGCGGTGTACGGAGTTGATGAATTTTCGGACATGTCAGGTAATCTGCTGATACCTACGAAAGTTAGGTCATTCCATCGCATTATTTACAGGGGGTTGTACATTACATGGAAGTAGTGGCAAATAGCTTTATCCTCGCATGTCTTTGAATGAATTTCGAAATAGGGTATTTTTACAATCTTGACCCCAATATTGTGAGAACATGTCTTTAAAGTTTTTGCCTCCCTAAAATTTGGCGCAAAGATTACTTCAAGTGCTGCAGATAATTTCTTCGCAGATAAAATCTTTCAAACTCCCTCTTTCGCGGCCATGCAAGCAGCATTGTGAGGGTCCAGCATGTTGGCTCGGCTTATTTTACGTAAAGTGTTTTTAAATTAAATTACACTATATTAAAACTTGACAACACGCAAAATGTCCATCTTCAATGGCTAGCACTTGACTCCTGTATGGGGATCTGAGGAGACCGGGGAGGTCTGAGGAGACGGGGTGTGCTGCAAAAAGACTTGTAACATTTTTTAAAAAACTGTAAAAAAGTATGAATCGGTGATCCAGAGGGAAGAAAATTGCAAGAATCAGCTGCAGCAGCAGGTAAACAATAGCTCACTATGTAAAAGTGATAATTGAAAATAATATAAGAAGTCTCCAATTTTTAATGTAAATGTTGTGAGAATTTCACTGACGTCGTGTTTTCCTCATGAAGAAAATTGGTGGTAGGAGAAGGTCTACTCATTAATTTTGCGCACTGAATTTGTTAAGATGTGTTTTGAAATGTTTTTCAGAAGAGGAATTTAAAGAGAAAATGTTGCTTAAAACGAAGTATACACGCAAGGCAGAGGCCGACGGAGCTCACGCCTTAAATATAGAGAATTTGAAAATTCCACAGAATTTTGATTGGAGAACCAAGGGCGCTGTTTCACCAGTTAAAAGCCAGGTTTGCTGAACAAAATATCTAATTTTAGAAACGAAAACAGCCCATGGAACAAATTATTTTCCGCGTTAAAACAAAATATGAAACCAAATTGTCTTTAAATAAATAGAAAGCGTGAGCTTTTGAAAATATGATAAACATCACTCGACTATATCACTGCCGCTTTTTGTCTGGCCCTAGAGTAGTCTGGCTAATATTTTATGGTATGACTAATATAGTTGTTTCTCAGACAAAGGAACGAAACTCCGTTACAAGATTGCAAAATCAACCCGAGCAATTCAATTTTTTACAAAAATGTACCTGATGATAATTGTTGTCCAAAATTTATCTGATTTTTGTAAAAGACCAGATGAAAAATCAGTGAATTTTTCAGTTGAAAATGCGTAAGATTCTCCTTGTAAAAATGCAGGTTGCGAGAGTAAACTTGGCAACATTGAAATGTAGTTACGTTCTTTCGTGGGGAAACGACGACGTTTAGCGAGTAGACTTTGCGCTTAGACGCAATTTCATCATTTTTGACGATTCTATAAATCCGACTACCTAGCACGATTCTGTGCCACACACGAGTGAGAAACCTGTAAACCTTCTGTAAACCTTTTGGTGGCAAATAAAAAAAAAAATAAATAAAAAATTAAAAAAAAAATGAAAAAAATAAAAAAATGATGAGTGAATGAGTGAATGAGAAGTGAAAGTTACCTCACAAAAAATTAGAGACGTCATTTTTACTCTCTCGCTCCCCTCGTGGGGAGCTTTTTCTTACTATTTCCTTTTCTTTAATTGTTTCCCCTTTCTTTATCAGGGTTATCATTGTGGCTCTTGTTGGGCATTTGCGACCGTTGCTGTATTGGAAAGTTTATATTACTTGAAACATAAGAAAATGGAAATTTTCTCTGAGCAGCGTAAGTTTTTAACATTCCGGACACGCGTATTTTGAATCAAAGTATCAAGTTTCTTTCTTTTTTCAAACTTCTGTGTTGCCCAAGAATTCTTCTCATAATTTCGTAAATCTTTGAATACCATTTTAATTCTGAGAAAGTACCTTAATTTCAGAAAGTCCTCTCCATTTTTATAAAATCCATTTTTAAGACGCTCGATGTGTACGAATTACAATCATGCACCTAACACTCGATTTCCCCAGTATGTTTGCGCTGAACACGCATTTATATTATGATCCCATTTTGTGTCGGTCTGAGAAGAAAAAAACAAGAACTTACTTGACGGGGAAAAAATTTAAATCTAAACCCCCCCCCCTTCTTTCCCTTCTAAAATCTAATAGAAATCTGTACTTGTCGCTATCTTAATTATGAGCATTATGCTATACCCAGAAAAATTTGTGAAAACACTCTGATGTCGTTAAAGAGCTCAAATTGGCAAAAATCGTCGTTTTCTAAGCGTGAGCATAACTTATTTCAATGTTGCAAAATTTACGCTCGTTAATTGTATTCTCATTAGTATAGTTTCAGGACATCTTATCTAAAAACTCTACTGTTTTTTCTTCAAATTACTCGAAAAATCAGAAATTGTTTAGACAAAATTTGCTTATATTCTCGTAAAAAAAAAATGGATTGCTTGTGTCAATTTTACAACCATAATGAGTTACATTTCTTCGTCTAGAAAATCTGGTAAACAAAGAAATTAGGACCTACGAGGACAGTTTTCTTGCAATTGTTTTTTCAGTAAACGCCACGTCTCACATTTTTTCTCAGAGCTCGTTGACTGTGACCCAGAATCATATGGCTGCGCTGGAGGCCTCATGTCCGATGCTGTGAATTACATAAAGAGCGCAGGAGGTCTTGAACTGAATGAAACATACCCTTACAAAGCCCAAACTGAGCCGTGCCATCATAATTTAACTAATTTTGTTCTGAAGGTTAAAAACCTTGTTCCGCTCCCCAGAAACGCGGAGAGGAAAGTCGCGAGGTGGCTGTTCAAAAACGGGCCCGTTAAGGTTGCTGTTGACTCCAGCGCAATGTATGTAAGTAACATTATTCTCGTTCGTGGGTCCTCTCGATACAGTTACAGTCGTGAATACAAAAATGATCTTCAACACAATGAAGGGAAAAACTGTGATTTGTGTAACTGCCACATGAAAATGGCGTTACGCGGAAAATTACAGACCGATACTGTCAATAATCCGAGTGAGTTTGAGGCTCTTTCAAGCTGAAATTTTCATCGTTAGAATTCCAAATATGAAATTTTTTGGTATTAGTGCAATTAAGATTAATTAGTTTCACTCCAGTGCCGTGGCGTGAATTGGGATGTATCGATTGATATACCATTTAAGCCTATGGTAAAGACTCGATTATTAAGGTGCTCGCTGCGAACACCCTGTTTATCGATCCTTTTCCGTAGGTTTAAATGGCATAACAATCGATACATCGCAATTCACGCTACGCCACTGACATCTGTCTATTGTAGCGCTGCTTCGTTTCTCCTCGCAGATGTCGACTCAACTGTTACGCTGCTCAAGAACCACGTATCTGCCACGGGAATCCTATGCTGATATGCGCTTCTTTGGTCTCGCACATCGCTCTGTCGATGGTGGAGCTCCGCGACTTTTTCGTCTGCGCGCGCGTGAATGTGCGTGTGTTATTGGGGATGTGTGTGGGTGTTGGAGGGTTTGGCGTATTGGAAGCTTCGCAGCTCGATCGATCCTTTTCCATAGGTTTAAATGGCATAACAATCGATAAATCGCAAATCACGCCACGCCACTGTTTCACTCATTTTTGGCAAGGTCTAGAAGTTTAAAGTTGTTAAGGGCTGTAGTTATGAGGGCCAAACAATGAATCTGAGACGAAGAGCTTTGAATAAAAATGCTTGTTGCACAGTGAATCACGGCCGGTAAAAGTTTGGACAACTCCACAGTCATAAAATCGCCTCGGTCAGAAGGTTCCTCTTTTATCATTTTTGTTATAAAATAATACTGCACTTCAAATATAAGCTCACATCATAGCAAGGGAGGTATTAACAACCCGGGTAAGGCACACCTCTGTGGAGGAATGTCTTGACGTCAGATGTCTCAATGTCACGAGTCTGGACTGACACTTGATGGCTCTGAAAAGGGATGAAAGACATGGAAGAACATAATATGATGAAATGACGAATTGAGGGGCCTACAGATGAAAATAATTTAAAAGAATTTTTAAGTAACCAGATTTACTTGAGAGTCACACGTAGCATAATAATAGCCAGAAAGGCAAGAGGGCGAACGCGCGCGAAGCTTACGCGTTTCGTAGGTGGAAAACCTCGAAAAAACAGCAGTCCACCCTTTGATAGACTTGTTGACGTCACCGGTGGTAAAATAACAAGACCACGCACGATTGGCTGGCCATAATCATGTAGATATCAGCTGCAAGTTAAGTGATTAGAATAACGGTTGATGACTGGACGATAAAGTCAAAAAATGAAGATGCCGTCGTAAAATGAACAAATCTAGTCATCACTGATGACCGGATGAAATATGTAAAAGGACACCAAGATCTAAATTTACTGGACTTTGCACGACCCGTGCCAAGAAAGTTCCAAAAATCGTGTAAGCGCCCCCTCCCCCTAACGAACCTCTTGTTCGTTTAAAACGACCTATTATGATCTATAAAGTATATTTGAGATTTATCTTTTATTTTCATTGGGCTGAGGTTTAAATTATATTTCGTTGAATCCCCCCCCTTTCGTAAACATGCCTTCATATGCAAGGACGAATCAAATGTTAACAAAAAACGAGATCCTTAAAAAAATTGCCTGATCTATCTTACAAAAAGAGATTATGAGGAAGCCAAGTAAGTAACCATCAAATACTATATATAGTTAATTGATAATATTAATTTTTTTTAAATAACAGGGCTACATAGATGGAATTGCTCACCCACCTGAGAGCATGTGTTCTAAAATAGAAGCTGATTTGAATCATGAAATCACATTGGTAGGATACGGTGTACAAGGTAAGTTACATTGAAAGCAAAGCAACTAATCGTACCAAAACAAACGTCTAACGTCTGAGCCTTCAGACTTTTTTGTAAAATTTTTAGTTTTTGTACATCATCTATAACCAAATTATTTTACGGCCCTTTCCGTTAGTGTTCAGTAGACACGAACTTTGAATTTCCTTGCTTCTATGGAATCAATTGTTGATTCCTTCCAATCCTATCCAAATCTGAATTTATTAAGTGATTTTGAGTATATTATTCTTTTTACCTCATTCTGGGACCTCTTTCTATCAAAAGTCCCATGTCAGTCACATTTACGTGAACTTTCGCAAGAGGCATTTACTTGGATGTTCATACAGATAACTGACCAATAATTATTATCATATTTTTCTTCGTTATGCCAAACAGCATTGAAGTAAGACATTTTGCCGCGTGTTTTGGATATATCATTTGTATGCATAACAAAAAAATAATATGAATAATCACGCTGAGCCAATGCTGTCACGGGTTTTGCATCTATCAGTGGCAAATTCATACCGCCCCTTATTCCCATTCACCCAAAAAACATGAAGACAGAAAGAAAAACAGAGTGAAAAGGATGGCCAGAAACTAAATACAATGGGTATACTACCAGATCGTAATTTTTTGTGGGGGTAGGAGGTGAGAAGGGAAGTCATTTGTTTTTACTTCAGAAAACATGGTTTCTTGCCCTCTCATTCTTTCTATCATTTCTCAAATACTTTATAATCCCATTATTATACATCCCGGTAACGAATTAAATACTCGAGAAAAATCACAGTAAAAGAGGTACAGTCCGTCGAGTTTGAACATTATTTTCAACTGCTCAAACATTAGGAAGTTTTTTTGTAAAATTTTCGGAGGAGGCCCTCGGACCTTCGCCCATTTGCTCGGCACGGTGCGTCGGAAAGAGTTTAAATTTTTTGACGAGTCACAAGCAAAAGTTTTGACTCTTCAGGTTCTTGAAGTAGAATGTCTACTGAGTCATTTAAACTAAAAATAAAAAAATTCTGTCGAGCTCCTGGAAAATTAAGACCCCCATAGGGGATGGCCACGTGGGCCGCGGCCCATGGCGGATAATTTAGGGGGCGGCAAATTTTGCAATTTTTTTAATGTAGGTATCAAAAAAAGAGAGAAAAAAATCGGATTCAGAAAATAAATTACAAACGAGAAAAGGCGACAAAGTCTCTCATTTCCTGAGAGTAGAAGTATAGTAATTTCTAATTTTTTCGTCTTTCGGTGATACAAGAGACAACACCTTTGATTAGTCGAGTTGAGAGAGAAACCAAACGCGCAACTTAACCTGGAACGGAGCGGCGCGGAGGCGCGGCGGTCGGCATGAAACGCATATCGCCTACAAGACTGCATGAATACTTCACGCATTGCGTCAAACACAGTGCGGTCAGCAGCGGTCGGCGCGGCGTGAAGCGCATAGCGCCTACAAGACTGAATGAATACTTCACGCATTGCGTCAAACCCAATGCCGGCCCGGCACTGCCGGGAGATGTCTGTTGTCCTCGACTCGACATCAACAACCCTTAAAGTTGTTTCTGGACCCGCCATTGGCTTTTATGTATATGTATTAGAATTAATCGTTGTCTTGAATTCTCTAAAAGTAGCTGTTACCCTTTCAGTTGAACGTGCTAATGGCCGCAAAAAGAAGATACCATACTGGATCGCGAAAAATAGCTGGGGCGAAAAATGGGGTGCAAAGGTAAGATAACACTTATTATGACCACAATGTCAATCCCTGAATGAAATTTATGAGAAATGAACCGTGGATATCTGAATGTATCTTGATGTGATTCATCATTTTCATATCATTCTGTCAAGTGAAGCATGATACAGGATCTAGAGGACCCAAGAGCATTTTTTGACGAAAAATGGATGACAGCAGTCATTCATTATAGTATAAAGGGACTATAAGGGGGAACTACTAAAAGGGATTAACAAACATTAAATGTTGGGGATCTTTAGTGGGAAATTAACCTAAAAAATTTGACAATTTTAAAGAAATGAGTAAAAATTGAAAAAAAAATGCATTCAAAAGTTTTAAATGAGCTGGGAATACCTTCCTCTGTGTTGTTCTTTTTACTGCAAAGTACATGCATTGAAAAACTAAATCGATCGGACGAATGTAATCTATAACGTGTCGTATCGACACATTATTGTTTTTCTTTCATTTTTAGCTTGTTTATTTTTTCATTGTTATTACCGTTGTGTTCTTTTCAGGGATACTATTATCTATACAGAGGCGACAGCTCGTGCGGTGTTGCAGTGGACCCTCATTCAGCAGAGATTGAATAAAACTGAAAAATAAACTTACTGAGAGGCTACCGATAAATGTACTTGCTTATTTTCATGAAAATGGTTTTTAGGGTTTCTTCAAAGATTTTTGACACTTAGGTTCTTTCTTTTGCGAGCGGCATTTTTTCTTGTTTAATTAATGCATTAATTGAACAATATCAAATAAAAGAAAGAACCTAAGTGCTAAAAACCTAAAAATTGAGATTCAAGTATATTGTGCTGCTTAGATAAGTGTCATATTTATATTTTGTCACAAAAATTGAATCAGTGAGAATGAAATCACACCTACTCGGTAACTCGAAAACGCTCAATTTCCATTAAAGACAGTTAATTTACAAACAGGTCATTGAAGTTAGCGCATCTGTTCCAACTTTGACCTTTGAAGAGTCCATACGTACTTGTCTTTTGGTGGCAAACATATTTTTCTTAAACTAACTTCTTCGCCTACTTTGCAGTTTTGTGTGTGGCATGATTATTTTCATTTTTCGAGTTGGTGTGTTTTCGTTCTCACTGATTCAATTCTCAAAAATGAAAAACCAAATTAAAGTGATGCCGAAGCGAAGTACACAGTTTAAAAAAAGCTATTGTGGAGAGTCGTTACTTAAAGATTGCCACATTTGAGGCTTAAAAACATCAAATGAAAAGCAACTCTATGTCCTGTACGGCGACAACGATTAAATAAAACAGCTCTAACAGAATTGGTAGGTAGAGAATAAGGAAGTGCTCATTGTCAAATCGTCTCTCTCTGGGAAAATTATTAAAGGGATCAATTTTTGGAATTTGTGTGTTCTTTCATCTAAAGGGTGCAGAAATTGGCACTCAAATGTGTGGAATAGAGATCCAATTTTTCACTGCTATTTAAGGCACATTTTGTCTGATCCATAACAAGTAAATACTTATGTTGAAAAATCATTGCGAGGTAGAGGAATGTTCTTTCGTCTGATGACGCATACAAACACACCCGTTTTCTTGGATTTCAAAAATACAAGTACTTGCCTGTGATGAAGAAGTATTCACCGACAAGTGCACTTTCAGATTTGATTGAAACATGTTGCTTAGCAATTGATACGATACGATGCGTCATCAACTTCGAAATATTTTCAATTGAAAATGCATTCCTCGTCTCGTAAGTTAGATATTGAGATTTGATTTCTCAGGAAATACAGCGTTGATTTATTCCACCTCCAGAATCGCAGGGGATAGCGGGCAGAAACTTTCTAATCATCTTTCATTAGGCCAAAAAAGACTTGAAGGAGCGACGAAAGACTGCGTTTTATCTGCAACGAAACTTTCCGCCCACATTCTGCAGCTGCCCTCCCGGATCGGGTGATTTTAAATTATCGTCGAGAAATAAACTTTTGCTTTCATCTTCATTGTTATTAGAGCACGAGTAACTTTTCTCATTGTCTCCGCCACTTACTTAGCGACAAAGGTCCCCTCCTGCCCGTCCCTCCAGCCACGAAAATGATACGTCTCGATCTTTGTCGACCCGTTTTTGCAATGGGATCGAAGCGTGGCTGCCTTGCTGTGTCAAGAAATCGGTTAGTTTTAAGCTCTGAGATCTTGCCAGTATGCGCGGTGTAATTTTCCTTTTGAAGAACGGCTTAAGGTGATTCGATGGACGCCATATTTTGTGTCAGAACGGCATGCGATATATCGCATCAATTGGTTCCATTTTTTCAGCTACTCGTCATTTCCCTCCAAATTTGAGATCGCAATTCTGTTGTCAGGAGACTAAAGCACTCACTTATCAATTTTAACAAAGAAATTCAACGTAACGAAGGCGTGATTTTTTTAGAGAGAAAACATCGCATTCGATACTGATATCGAAACTGCACTCGAATGCGATATTTTCTCTCTAAAAAAACCACGCCTTTATTACGTTGAATTTCTTTGTTAAAATTGGTAAGTGAGTGCTTTAGTCTCCTGACAACAGAATTGCGATCTCAAAATTGGAGAAAAATGACGAGTAGCTGAAAAAATGGAACCAATGGATGCGATATATCGCACGTCGTTCTGATACAAAATATGGCAAAATCACCTTAAGGTGATTCGACGGTTGCCATTTTTTGTGTCAGAGCGACGTGAGGTATACCGCATCAATCCGTTCCATAATTTCAGCTACTTGTCATTTTTTTTTCGAATTTTGAAATCGCACTTCTCTTGTCATAAGGCTAAAGAATTAATGAACCAAATTTGAAAAAAGAAATTCAACGTAATAAAGGCAGAGTTTTTTTAGAGGAAAATCATCGCACTCGATACTGATATCGAAACTGCACTCGAATGCGATATTTTTTCTCTGAAATAACCCTGCCTTTAAAAGTAGAATTTCTTTGTCAAATATGCAGACCCTCCACTGGCCTCCTAGCGGCAGGTGGAAGCTTTTACTTTCGGGGTTTCAACAATTTCTTATGGACAATTATAAGGGAGCAACAGTCATTACCCTAGTTTCGGCTGTTGACTTACCTACATAGTCGATGATGAGCTTCGGATGACGTCATGAGCCAAACAAGTTTCCCAAGCGTCGGCCATTTTCGGCTTTTTTGCAAAACGAAACTGCCAACACGTTGTTGAACATCAACCATGTAAGTAAGTCAACAGTAAAATGCTAAAGTCCCGAAAGTAAAAGCTTCCACAATGGCCAAGATACTAGTGGAGAGTCTCTTGTCTCTGCAAATTTGGTACATGAATTCTTTAGTCTCATGACAACTGAAGTGCGCTCTCAAAATTTGAAAAAAATGACAAGTAGCTGAAATTATGGAACGAATTGATGCGATTTATCGCACGTTGCTCTGACATAAAAAATGGCAACCGACGAATCACCTTAACAAGAATAGAAAATTCAAAATCTTCAAAGGGGCAAAACGTGGTGTAATGCACGGGAAAAAAGTGTTAGGGGTTATCCCCTAAAATTATAGTACCACCCTGATTTGTTAGATGATATTGACATCTCCAATTAATTTTGACAGTGCCACAACTCAAGTTGAAGTAGAACTGCAACATTTGTGTTAGTAACCTAGTTCATTGGTGCACTACCAGACTACCACAAGTAATTGGATATGCTCGTATCATCCGACAATCCTTTGCACTTTTTTACCGTGTGGCTATGCAGTGAAGAAATCGTTAGGTCAAGGTGGGAGGGGAAAACCAGAAAAATTTTCTGACGTCCTTTTATGGGCGACTCTGGGTCACCATTACATTTAGACGATGATCAGTGTTAATAATGATAATTAATGGTTTATAAGTTCTCATCTTTTGAGTAATTTCACAAGTTCACTCAATTTCACTATCGTTGTGAAATCGTCAATGATGATACTCCTTCTGTAAGAATATTTTTAGGAATAGCGGCGAAATGTTTCAAAATTGAAATAACTGACTTATAAGTTGAATTTCAGCAACTTCAAAATTCTGCATTTTATTCAGTGAAGCTGCGTGGAGTGTTGTCCTAATTTGAAGTCATGGGTTCGCGAAAACTAATAAATACTATTCAAACGCTGATTTTATACTTCCAATATTTACGGAGATATCACTCATCGAAAAACGCGGTGTTTGATGTCATCCACCGCTGTTGTGCATATCATGGTATCTCCCACCTTAGGTTTCATCAATCACCGATGAAACCAAGTTGGAAGAAAGCATAGTCTAATGCATAATCTAATAATGGACGTATGGAGACAAGTCGTTTGAATAAATCTCATTTTTTGCTAATCTGTAAGCTGAAATCATCAAACAACAATTCTGTGAATAACGCAACTGACCTTTTTTAAGGTAGCAACATGAAAATTGTACGCGTCGCATAAAACTGTATAGTAAATTAACGTAATCATAAAAAATTAGGTCGTAAAATTGTTCCTTTGAAATAAATCAAACTTGCTAATGCTTGGCTTAAGCTGCTAATGTAGAGTATCGAAATCTGAGAGGATTTGCAATTTCGGATCTTTAGCCTGAGAACCGAATTCTATTGATGAGATATTTTTTTTTTTTTTTCCTGAAACAGCTTTATTAGCTTTTGTGAATGATCTAAATGTGACAACGTATTTTTGATCCGAAAGTTGAACCTAACTTTTTCAGTTTCCATCCGACAACAGTGACAAAACTTTCATACAGAGGTGAATCTGCTTCAGTTAACCTCATAAATAATTTAACCAAGTGTTTTCACCGTTTGGAGTAAGTATGGCGACTGTCGTCGGAGCGAGTTATACTCTCTTTAGATAAGATCATTAATCGAAGCCTTGTGCGCAACTACTATAGACGTACTCGAAGTCATACCTCTTCTCACAGTCAGATATAAATTGAAGGCTCTTATTTAATTTATGGTTTATGGTGGGGTATCACAAATTATCCACCATCACTTCTGCGAATATTTCAAACGTCAAACTTGTAAAAGTACGTATTACTTTTATACCTCCACATTCTCCAGGCGCATGCCACATGCACAGGGTTTATTTTCAATTTTCACTGTAACAATTGACGTTTGATAAGTAACGGGAAATTTCTCAACTGAAAAAACCATCCTGATACTCTTACACTTCTGAAAAATGTAAATTCTCATAGATTTATTTAAAGTCATAATTTTAAACAGTTTTGATCAAAAGTATTTAGTCTGAGAATCACTCAATCGAAAAATAATTTTCAGTGTGTGTATAATTTCCATTCACTAACATCATTTTATCAAAAAAAAAATTGTTCCCTGAACGTCACTTTCTCCCACAAGAGAGGAGGGCTAGATTTTTCCCCCCTTTTCGACAGCAAGCAAAACTCCTAATTTTGATGACTGCAAGTTCCGAATACTTCGGAGCTCTACTTCATCCATCATCCTTTCACATGGACTCAGCCTCAGCTGAAACGCCAAAAAAGTACACGTTTTTGACAAAGAGACTTGATAAAAACACGAGGACGACAAAGTCCGAAAAACGAAAGGCTGAAGAGCGCAAAACAGAAATTTCCGTTTTTCTGTTTTTTTACGAAGGGTGCTCCTTGATTCCGCCCATAAATATTCATGTTCGAGGAGGATTTTCAATTGGCGAACCCTTCGGA